TGCTGGCGTAGATAGCAGAGCTGGGGGGGGAAAAAAGCAAACGATTGCTGTTGTCTCTTTGGCACTACCAAGGCAGAGAAGGGTCCAAATTCAGTACCCTCCCACCCACCCCCAGGGCCCTGCCTTGGCACTCTCCTCTCCCATCCCCATACGGATCACTTGATGCAATCACTGTGCCAGCTCTAGCCCCAGCTCTTACCCAGCTGACTTGATCTGGCTCCAGAAGCCATCAGTTTTGTAGACATAGAGTTTGCCACTCCCAGCCAGCGCCGTGAAAACGTCCTGCTCTAGGCGGATCACCTCTGCACGCTGCCAGCCGTTGGAGCTCTCCTCTCTGCAAGTGAGAGGCCCGTTAGGCACCCACTCCAGTCACAGCCTCAGCCAGGGACCCCAGCAGCTACCCTCCCCACATCTGGGGGCTCTGGTGATCCTGGAATCCTTCCTAGTCATGCATTTCTCCCCAAAGATGGGGATGATCCCAGCCATCAGGCTAGGCCTGCCTAGCTGCAGAGCATCGGGGAGACGGGGCTCTGCCAGCTGAAACAAGCTCTCAGCCAGAAGGTGATGGTGCAAGAGACCCACCCAGTCCAGGTGGGTGTATGAGTGATGGATCCTGCCCCTGCTTCAGAGCCCTGCACTGCTGGATTTTTGCTCGGGTGGTGGCAGAGATACCAAGTGACAGGCTGGCTGGTGCAGAGAGCTGGAGGTGGGAGCAGAGCATTCCCAGGTGAAAGGCTTGCTCAGCCCCTTGCTCAGAGCAGGATGAGGATGGGGTGGGAGGAGAGGAAGGGAGAGGGGAAGTCTCAAGCTGGCCAGGAGAGGAGCAGAGGAAAAGAACAGCCTTGCAGAGCAGCCTGGAGCAGGGAGGAAAGCATGCGTTATCACTAGGGACAATCCAGCCCGGAGAGCAGCCAGTGCAGACACAGAGGAAGACTTACCCAAGGTAAGGATAGCTGGTGCAGGGCCAGGAAACAAGTGAGTGATGGCAGAGGAGGAGAGAAGATAGAGAAAGAATGGAGGATGAGCGTGCCGCTGCAGCCCCGGGAAGCAGTGGGGTGGGAGGGACGTGGGGCAGAGAGGAGCACTCACAGCGCTAGCTCCTGCTGGTTCCTCTGGAAGACCTCACCGATGTGCTGGAAGATGGCAGGTGTGAAGAGGTAGATGCCACAGTTAATGATCTCACTGACAAACGTGCTGGGCTTCTCCACATAGTGCTGGACCTGGAGGTGAGGAAAGAGACATGAGTCCCAGGGCACAGCCGCCGCGCCCAGCATCACACCCTCTGTGGCACGTCGGGAACACGTGCCCACGCAGGCAGAGCAGCGCCCGCTGCCCACGCTGTGCCCGGCTCCCCGAGGCCCCCCAGTACCTCCTGCGTGTCCGCGTGGGCCACGATACAGCCGTAATTCAGCGCCTGCGTCCTGTTGGCCTGCAGAGCGAGGACGTGTTAGCGATGGGGGAGCAGTGGGCAGGTGGTGGCAGAGCAGATGAGACCTGGAGCTCCCACC